CATTGACGCTGAACACTTATGAATACTAGCCAGTTAATTGTTTTGAATTATTTAATCAGTCCCCTTCAATTTTAATACATAATAAGTTTAACAAGCATTTTTGTCTTTATTCATGTTCAACAAGCATTTTTGTCTTTATTCATTCAACAAACTTTAAACTGTATATTAAATATTTTCTGCAAGATTTATCAAAACAGAAAAGAAAAAAATATGTCAAAATAAATCTGAATGTGGTTCCAAGTTCATTTAATACAAAATAGTTTGGTATAATCAGACCAGCTGCCTTTATATAGACTACCTAATGATAACAAACAGACATAATGATATATGATATTTAATAGCAAATTATTACAATATTGGATGTGACATGGTATTATATTTAAATATTATTTATTTAAATCATGAAAGACATAAACATGATATGATATTATATTATGATACAGCCTATTAAACTTTTGTGATACATAATATTAAAAAATTGAAATACAAATTGTAAAAAATGGCGTAAGACATTAAAACAAAAGGGTCATGTTGGCCCTGGATCGCTCACCTGAGATACATAGAAAAGGTCACACATTTTGTTTTTCAATGTTAAAGTCAGTAATGAGACTCAATTTGGTTTGCCGATTATGTTTTACTTTAAAGCTGCATAATTTTCAAAGTATTTGTTAATGTCTGCTACTAAATGTTCGATGACAAATATCTAAGCATTTGACTTTGTAGTTTCACAAAAGATGATTTGTTTTCTATACAAGTCTGTGTAACATGGCGTGGCCAATTTTGACCCCAGTGCATGATTTATATAACTTTTCTAGAGGACCACAAGGTGATACTACATACCAAATATCTAACCTCAGGGCATTGAGTCCAAGCAATTCATTTTTAAGCAATTTTCAGCTTATGCAAGTAGCTACTTTTGCATCAGACTGTAACATTAATAAATTTGGTATAAGACAACCAAAAATGATCATTCCTGTTAAATTTGACCAAAATCCATAAAGAGGCTAAAGATTAGATGTTGTTTATCAAGATATTGAGGATAACTGCCATAATAAAAGCTCACCTCTATGCGAATATGGCAACTTAATTAAAAGTTTTATTGCATTCATACTTCATATCTTACAAAAAAAATGTTAATCACTTGACATGTATACAAGCATATTTAGGAGTACATAACTTATGAATATTGGTCATGGTAATTTGAGCAAATAACTTATAATAATAAAGCCAATAAAACAATAGACTGTTCACTTACACAGAAAATCATTGCTAAAACAAGGCCATTATAACTTCAAAGCAGGACAACAGTTCATTTTTAAAATTTTATACGAGTACACAATCTTGTACCTGAAAGTTCATATCAATTTTGAAAATTGTAGTAAAATGTTTGCAAATACCTCATAGATGATATATCCAAAGTAAGAGTTTAACATATTTTAAATATACAAAAATTGTAAACAAATTGCAGCGCCATAACTTTAAATTTTCAAATGATAGTCCCTGGATACAGTTAAATGTCATTCGTTGTAAAAAATAACATTTTGGATACAAGTCATCATCATTTGTGATCATACATAAAATGATCAAAGATAGAAACTGTCCTGTAACAATTCAACAATTAAAACTAAAAAAGTTTTGCCAAGGAGGTGACTTTCTTGATCTCAAGGTGCATTTAAATTAATGTTAGGGTAACAAAATAATATTATATACACCTCATCCCAAAATACCTAAGTTCTCGGTAATGTTTTTTTTTTTTTTTTGGTATGAATTTTTTTTGTTACCATTTCATTTCTGGAGCTTCTTTTAACGCCTTTTATTTGAAATTTGTATTTAAGACCGAAAACAACTTAGAGAATTGTAGAGGGTCACCAAATAATTATTCCCGAGAAGATGGCCGCATAAACACATACAAATTATAAAGAAGATATTAGAGAAAATGAGAATAATTACAATCGAATTATATACTCATGTGTACAAACACATGTAAGTATCAGGCATTGCAAATCAATATAGGAATTCTATATGTTCGAAACCCCATAACACTCTCCTTACTAAATTTAATTTTGCAAGTTTGAATATTTCTGCTCGGAAAACAATACTGTTGAAATAAGATTAGGTAACTTAACTGTACTGGTCTGTATGATTTAGCATCTTGCAAAATACTAGAATGTAGAAAAATGTATACAAAACACCACGAAAAACATTAGGCACATGTAAGTACCAGGCTTTGAAAATTCATATAGCACTTGTTTATATGCTTGAGTCTCCAAAACTATATACAACTCTCCTAAATAAATTCATTTGTGAAAGAATGATGATTGTCCTAGCCCAGCATTATCTATAATTTATATATATAACTTATTAATAATCTATCACATTCAAAATGATTGTCCTTGCACAACATTATTCGTTTAAAGGTCCATATTATGGCCCAGAATGCTTTGATTTTTTTGTATTTTGTTAATTTTTGGTTTATGTTATAGTTGAAAAAAGAATACCCATTAACCATTTACATGAACTATATTTTTCTTCTATTTCTTTTTTGAGATTAGTGCAATTATTGTGATTTAATATTTTCCCAGAATTGCACTTTCTTTACATTTTGCCTCCTATATAGACCCTTTCATTTAAGCGATAACAGTCAGGGAAGAGTTACTTCCCTTACCGGATGTGACGTAAATGGGGGATAAAACTATGCAGGCCGCATAGAATGTTACCTTATTGAAAAGTTAAATGCGTATATACTGATCGTTCAATTATGATTATAACATGTAAAAAAATTACGCATGCATACATAAATTCAATGTCAAGACAATAGAAAAAAAATTACAAAAACAAAGATTAAGATTAATTCTCGCTACGGAGTGAAACAGCGAAATTTCAAATTAAATAGCTGCAGTACATTTATTAGATTCTAGATTTTCTCTAATGCACGGATAAAAAGCTGGTAACGAAATCAAATTTTAATAATTTTAAACACCCATACACACTGGGAAATGCCTATTATGAATATAAAGGGGCCATTTTTCTAGTTTTCTGAGTTTTATTTTCTGTCATTTAGAAAATTTCGGCGTTTTGAGCAAACATGAAAAATAAGACTGCCAATGTCTTTTAATGATAGTTTTTCAAGCTTTAATAGAACAATTACAGAATGCATTCTGTCAAATAATTTACTGATTTTTTTTTTCATTATGCCGTTAAAAATATTTCTGAAGAACCCAGTGAAGGATATAATTCTATAAAATATTCCGGAAAAGAACGATAAAAAAACATGTGGCATAGACTTTTGTAATTTTAGATTCGCAACAGACGATAAGAAGATAATTTTTGATTATTGAAAATCTTTTTTTATGGTTGTGGAATAAAGACCTTTTCCCAGTAACAAGATAAATAGATGTGTATATATAAGCACCACTGGGCCGTATCATATTAATTGAAGAGGATGCATATGTTGTATATTCAAGCGGCACTTGGCTGTACGTAAATCATCAATCACCATGGTGCAATTTTTTAGAGTTATAACATTACATTAGATTACGTCACTTTTGTTAGTTGTCAAAACATTTATGGTCCGAATTTTGTTATGGATCATCCTAGGGACTTTATTGGTCATGCCTTACTGATTTGATTCTCGATCTAGAGTCCTACCAACTGCATAGTCAAAAATACATAAAAATTATAATTCAGTTCATAACGAATTTCTGTGAACGTGTTTTCACAACTTGTTTTTGTTTTGTTTTGTTTTTTTTTGTGATTTTTTTAAATATTTGATAAGCTGAGTATGAATTAAAAAGTTCAAGTTGAAAATATCACTTTACTAGCTTAAATATAATTGGGTTGATGTACGATTTTTTTAGAGTGCATTTTATTGCCGACACAAATAGTATACAGTCATGTACATTCAAAAAACGAATATTTACTTTTTATGCCTTTACATTTTTTTTAATTTAATATATAGATTAATATTGTTGTTTTTCTTTGTCTCAGTAATGCTTAAATCAAAATGTTTTTTAATAAATCAATACCGTTTTTCGAAACTACAGAATCCTTACATTTTTTTGAAACTCAAAATATCTTTTGGGTATTGTATATTACCATAATCTATATCTCTGGTATTAGCAAGTTAGTACGATTTATCTGCCTGGTAAAATTTTCATTAATTTATAAAGAATCTAACGAAAATGGTAATCATTATCAGTTACCGAGCAATACGGTCTACTATTAAAACAAATCGTTAACCTTATTATAGTAAACATTTTTATTCATTTCACCATCCTTTTTATGTAATATCGTATTAAATTACCCAACATTTTGGCAATTTCAATCTCCCAATTATACAAGAGAAAGGATTAAGATCGTTATATCCCTCTATTATTGTACTAAATCTTATCGCCATTGTCCACCGTATCCCCCAATGACGTCATCCAAGGGCGACAACTTGATTACGGTCTTAAATGAAAGGGTCTATATAATTCACATTTAGCCTTTAAGTAATAAGCATCTGACATATTCTAAAACCATTGTATCAACTTTATCATACCCTTCTTAGTTCTTTCTAATGTAGGAAAAAAGTTTCCATTTCTGGGGCATAGTGCACATTTATTATCAAAATAGAGTAAAAAATATTTTTATCACTTGGGTAAAAAGTAATTTTCTCTACTTTTATAACAACAAATCTTTACTTTTATGACAACAAATTATAAAACTGTTATTCAAAAGAGGTAAAACAAATGCAGAGATCTGAAATATTTACACTAGAGAACTGCCCATAAAACAATACTGGACAATAACTTGTTTATAAAATAAAAGTAGGCATCATGACAAATAAAAAAAGTTACAAATATATGATTGAAAAATTTGCAAAATAAGAATATATGGAGAGAAATAAAGATCTTAAATGTACCAATAATCTTTATTTGTGTGAAAATCAAACTTGTTTTAAAGAAATACATAATTATAGAACATCAAGTTTAAGTTATAGTGTCAATTTTGTGACGTTTGTAAATAAAGCAGTTAAAACAATGAAACTACATTCCATGCCAGGATTCTTCTCCAGCACCTCGGACAGTGATCGAGTCGAACAAGGCAATGTCGGCACATTATTAAGTGTCCACATTCTCTGATAACGGCATCGCGGATATTTCTCGTACACCTCGTACACTTAAGTTCATCTGGAAGTTGCTGTCTCAATCTATATGGTGGAGCTGTTTCTTGATTCTGCAGCAATACTGTTAAACAAGTTGGTGTCAATTATTTATAGTGTATTTACTGCAGTAAATATAAATCTAAAATTCTCAAAACAAGTCTCAAGTGTTGTTTTTTTTTAAATATTCAGAAATAAATTACAAATGTAAGCAGTCTTTGAATACGTAAATTCATGGGTAATTAATAGACCGTAGAATTATGAAGAATGTGTCTTTAAAATTCTTTTAATGCACATGCTCAAAAAATTAAGATTTTTTTTTTAATTTTCACGAAAATCTATCTAAAGGTGAAATATATTGTAAAGTGACCAAACAAAGTAGTTTACACATTGCAAACGCACATACAATCCAAGTAAATTACCAATTAAGAGAGGTCAAAATGTGCAAACATAAAATTTGCTGCGTTATTCACGCAGGAAAAATATGGTGATGAATTACACAAAGAAGACATTAATCGCAGATAACATGCAAGGTATTACTTGAATTTTTTACGATTCTTAAAATATAAGTAATTTTTTTATCTTGTTTGATTTTCTTGAAATATGCTTTCCTATCTGAAGTCTTAACATTTGTGACCTAAGTGATATGTATAAAGTACTAGTACCTTCAGAATGCCGGTTTTGTCTAAAGAATCTGTTACGGTTTTCATATCTAAGATTAACTACTCGTACACGATATTCGTGTCTGAGCGAAATTACTCGCTCCTCTGCGTCACCGTTGTTCTCGACATATTGTACCGGGTTTCTGTCTCGTCCAATATTACTATGGTAACCTGTCTCTTGTCTTATACGTGCTGGATCGTCTTCATCCCAGAAAGGCTGTGCCGCCTCATTGTGTCTTGTTAGTGCAACTATCCCTATCACTGTGATGAACATCTAAATTTCCAAATTGTGTATTTATTATACAATTGTTTTATATAAATTTATATGTTTCTGAAATAAATTTTTTATAAGACTAATAATATAAACATAATAATACAAACAACAATAATCTTTAGCGTGATTGGATGATCCGATCTAATAAATAAATAAAATAATTCCCTTACCAAAAAAAAGGGCTCTCTGGCGAACATTGCGGTAAGTTTGCCGCAAACATTGCGGTGAGTTTGCGGCAAACTGCTTTCAGCAATTATTTACCATGCAAATGAGGTTTGCGGCAAATTTGCCGCAACTCATGAGGTTAGCGGCAAACTTGCCGCAAACTATAGGGGGAGGTAGCTTCTGTTTGCGGCAAATTTACCGCAAACCTCATTTGCATGGTAAAAGTTTGCAGATGTTCGCCAAAAGTTTGCGGCAAATTTGCAGCAAACTTCATTTGCATAGTAAGTTTGCGGATGTTCGCCAGAAGCTTTTGGTAACACTGCGGCAAACTTCATTTGCATATTTGCCAGTTTCAGCAAATATGTTATGGCGATATTTTGGCAAACATTTTGGTAAAGTTCTGGCGAACAATTTTTTCAAACATTGGAATAATAAAAACTAGCTGAATTATAAGAAAACAAATACATATTGGTTTAACACATTTTTTCAATAGAAAATAAAAGAAATATTACAAACATATCAGTAGAATAAAATGAAATTTGATAAATTTGTAAAATAAAGAAATTAATTCCCAAAAAGAGATAAATTTTACACACATTTTATTAGCAACTGATTCTATACATATTTGACTTTCATAAATTTCCACTCTTTAGTTATGATGCTATCATGAATTGTTCATACTTAATAATCAATTAAAACAAGAGCCGGTTGAACCTGGGTGATCCTAGATACAGAAAAGTATATCTTTTGAAGTTTCAGGGTTATGTCCCAGACAAAGTTCAAAGTGTGATAATTCCAAAATAGTTGTAAAATCCCATTTTAAATAACGACGTTATGGGCCGTACACATTTTTGCTTCAAGGTCATGCTGTGACCTAGACCTTCAAGGTAATGACCCAAATGTTGCATGTGACATATCGTCTCAATATGGTGATTATTTCGGTGAAATAGTTGTAAAATCCGACTTCAAATAACGAATTTATGGGCCAGACACGATTTTGCTTCAATGTCATGTTGCGACCTTGACCTTCAAGGTATTGACCCAAATGGTGTGTGCGACACATCGTCTCAATATGGTGATCATTTCTGTGAAATAGTTGTAAAATCCGACATCAAATAACCAAGTTATGGGCCGGCACAATTTTTGTTTAAGGTCATGCTGTGACCTTGACCTTCAAGGTAACGACCCAAATGCTGCTCACGACACATCGTCTTAATATGGTGATCATTACTTTTAAATAGCTTTAAAATCCGACTTCAAATAACGAAGTTATGGGCAGGACATGATTTTGTTCAAGGTCATGGTGTGACCTTGACCTTCAAGGTAGCGACCAAATGTTGCGGGCGACAGGTCGTCTCAATATGGTGAGCATTTCTGTGAAATAGTTTTAAAATCCAACTTGAAATAACAAAGTTATGGGCTGGACACGAATTCAGGTTCGTATGTACGTACAGACGGACGGACAGACAACCCAATGACTATATGGTCCGCCGAAATTTTTCGGGGAGCATATAAACAATGTTTGACAATAGCTATTATTCAGCACATGTTGCAGTATTTCTTAGCACCATAAATGGGAAATATAATATTGTTGTAAAAGCTAAATATCAGAAAAGTTACAGTTTGAAAACTTCTATCTGGTCAAAAAGTTTCATTCAAACATGAACTGGCATGGAATAACATACATACTTCTACATCCACTTAGACAAATCACTATAAATAACAATAAATACTAACAATAGCGTTATGTGTTATGCAAAAACAGACTAGACCAATAATGGCTTTCAAAATTGTAAAAATGAATCTCCAAAATATATTTTGGTCTTAAACAAACAACATATTTCATGGACATAATACCTTCAGATTTAAACTCATATGTCATATAACATTATGATTGTGAGCAAAACAATATCTGACACATACAATTATGGCTTTCAAAATTGTTAAAATTAATCACAACAATATATTTGGGTCTTATACAAACAACGAATTTCATAGACATAATTTTTTGTTTGCTTGTTTTGGGTTTTTACGTCACATCAACACAGTAAAGGTCATATCGTGACGTTCAGGTGCCCTTCCTTGCATTATTTCAGGCACGAACGGGTATCTGAGTAGAACCACTGACGTTCAGTTAAGCTAGCTGGATAGCTTCCTCACAAGAAAGAATCCAAAGTCCCTGTCGGGATTCCAACCCACAGCGGTGAGGGGCAAGTGGTTTGAAGTCAATGACCTTAACCACTCGGCCACGGACGCCCCTCATAGACATAATAACTAAAGATTTAAACTAAATGTCTTTAGTCATGTCATATAACAATTGCAAGCAAAACAAAAACAAACTAGAGCAATAATGGCTTTCAAAATTGTAAAAATGAATCTTAACAATATTTTTGGGTCTTATACAAATATAGACATAACTATTAAAGATTAAAACTAAATGTCTTTAGCCATGTAATATAATGATTGCAAGCAAAACAAAAACTGACTAGAACAATAATGGCTTTCAAATTTGTAAAAATGAATCTTAACAATATATTTGGGTCTTATACAAACATAAACATAATAACTTAAGAATAAAACTAAATGTCTTTAGTCATGTCATATAACGATTGCAAGCAAAACAAAAACTGACTAGACAATATCGTAAGTTTGCATGAAATTGGCTTGGCAATTTATGAGATGTTGTTTAAAGATCAAGTTTACGGACGAAAGATAGACAAAAGCTAGCAATGTCACTTTGTTAGCTAAAAACGCACTACTTTACTCTTTCACTCTTCCAAGTTTCAGTGCCCTGGCCATTGTGTGTATTTTGGTGTTGACTGCTTTGGTGACTAAGCTTCTCTCCATATTTAGTTTATTGGTGCAGTACACTGAAAAAAACAAGGTTTATTTTTCATTTCCATGTAACCATGTTTATACTGGATAAAACTAGAACTATCACTGAAGGTGAATGATACCCCAAAACCCCACATTGAAGTAAAGTGGCAGTAATCTATTAGTAAAGCCCACCTACAAATGAAGAAAATAAACACCAAAGGCAATTATTATTTATTGCTGGCTTGATTTTGATCTGTTGGGATGAACATGTATTTGCATTGCAAAACCTAGATTTATTTACAAATGACAAGTGGCTCATATATTATAAGTTTATCTAACTTAGTTAAGAAATCAAGGTATCATGTTAAAAAAACACCAAAATACCAAACAAGAGCGATCAGTGATCACATGTGTCGCCTCATGATGGCCAATTTCATGTTGGGACAAGTTTTGTGACTTGGTACTGATCATTCCTTTAAAGTTTGGATGAAATTGCACCAGTAGTTTTTGAGGAGTAGTCCGGACAAGCTTTTATGTATCTGGCAACACACAGAAAAAAAACCACCTTTTCATCAAACTTGCCAAAATATCATTCAACCGGAAAACCTGTGTAATATGTGCCAGGACTTGAGCATAGTGTTGGGTATCGGACTCAAAAATCACTATCGATAATCGGACAACCTAAATCGATTGTCTGCCGATAGTATTATCGCATTTTTTTATGGTCCTTTTTTCTTTTAAGGTACCAATCCTTGTATGTATTTTTTTATATCATAGTGACCATATTTTGAGAATAAACTCTTGTCTCCAAGAATAAAGTAAGATTAACTCTTTGAATTCAAAACAAACAACACAAATACCTACCGGTAATACAACTTTGTGACAGGCAATTTTTGTATTAAACAATGTACAACTTTATGGCAGTCAATATTAGTACTAGTCAACAGGTCAAAATATTGTAGATCAGTAATTTAACTACAGTAGATATGTATTATGTCATTATTATTATGTTATTTATTATATTATTTTATTACACACTATAATTTTCCAAAGTACATGTAGTATTAACAATATAGTATAAGCAATTTAGTGGTGATAGAACACTGAAAATAATCGATTTTTAAAAAGGACTATCGATTGTGGCCGATTTTGGGTTGGTCCAATTAGTTATCGATTTTCAGAGACAATCGGGACAACACTACTTGAGCAACAGATCAATCCTGTAAAGTTTCATTGAAATTGCATTTGTGGTATAAGAGATGTAGTCCGGACAAACTTAGAAAAGGGCCATACCTCTGACAAAAATCATTGAACCGGAAATGCTGACAATATGCACAACTAGACTTGGTACTGATCATTCCTGTAAAGTTTGGATGAAATTGCACCAGTAGTTTATGAGGAGTAGTCAGGACAAGTTTTTGTGTATCTGGCAACACACAGAAAAAAAACACCTTTTTATCAAAGGGCCATAACTCGGCCAAAAATCATTCAACCGGAAAACCCATGAAATATGCACAAGGACTTAAGCTACAGATCAACCCTGTAAAGTTTCATTGAAATTGCATTAGTGGTATAAGAGAAGTAGTCAAGACAAACTTTAAAAATAAAAATTATTAAAGGGCCATAACTCTGACAAAAATCATTGAACCTGAAAATGCTGACAAAATGCACAACTAGACTTGGTACTGATCATTCCTGTAAAGTTTGGATGAAATTGCACCAGTAGTTTATGAGGAGTAGTCCGGACAAGTTTTGTGACGGACGGACAGATAGACAAGACGACGGAGAAATGATCCCTATATGTTACCACTACTCCGTAGAGGCGACACAAAAATGAACCATGCTGTGAACATGACAGCTAGGTCAGAACTCAAAGTTAAAACCAGGGTAATTCAAATAACCATTAGGATTTTTCTTCTAAATGCCACTGTTTGAAAGAACAATGTTGACTAACCAGTCTTACTTGTATGCAAAACTCACTTTTTCAATTATACATCAATAACAGTGGTTAAAATATACACAGATACTTTTCTGACAAATTCTAAATCATTACTGACATGATGACTGAGAAAAACTTGAAATGTGTCAATAAAACACGGATGCCCCCACACGCCACTGTTCTGTCAATCTTATGACTCTAGGTCAAATAGTTTTTGGACTACATGTGCCACAAGTTGAAAACTAAAAATCAACAAAGGGCCATTATTCTGTTAAATTTGGTTGCAGCAAAAATTCCTTCCTTTACTACCATCTACACATTAAGTTTGTTAATCCCTGGAAGTTTAAGCAAAATCTGCCATCCGGTTTAAGAGGAGTTGCGTTCACAAGATTTTGGGGCAGACTGACAAGTGCCACGCTATATGCTCCCACATTGTGGGGGGATAAAAATAATCTTATTTTACTTACATGTTAAACTGTCAAATCCTCTTTTGTGCCAGGCAGTATCTACTGCACTGGACATACCACTGCGGGTTTTACAGGGAAATTTCGGGGAAAGTCTTAATCTGCTGTGAGGTTTTTTAAGATGTGGACCACTTCTGATTTGTTTTCAACCTATGACTGTCTGTGAGAACTGTAATTGTAAAAATATATTTCAAAAATATTTTCTGTATTTTAAAATTCATCTTTAAACGTAATATTGACAAATATTGAAGATTGAACACCAATGAATTGACAATAACATATTTATAATTAATGTAACACAATGTTCACACAGTTACTAGAATAAGTTATGTTAATTATTAATGCTAATTGCACGACTTTTTCCTGACCAATTTTAGTAATCACTTTTATGAAATAATTCGGACTGCATATCGATTATTCATCACATGAAGTTACATCAAATTGTTTCTATTGAAGACGACCCCAAATAGCATTACAAAATTATCAAAGTATTATCATTTAATTGCTACACCATGATTATAAATATATATAAAAAAAACCTCATAGATTTCAACTTACAGTTTAATAGGCATTTTTGTTTGATGTATTGTTGAGGATTGTTAATCACAATTGTATAAATCTGACCATTCACTGTCATTTGTAACTGTAGCATCTGACTGATGAATAGACCTTGAATAAAAAAAAATACATATGTACAAACAGTATATGGAGAGATATTCATATATTGAAGCAACTGACATAACACAAACAGTTCAACAACACCAGTCAGTTTTGCATAGTCCTTTACTTTCGTAAATAAACAAAATACAGAAAATAAACTACCAGTACTCACTTTAGTGCTGGCAAACATCTGGCAAAGGACATCCTCCGAGATCTTGTCAATAAGATCTTCCATGATGTTGTGTTCTGATACAATTGATTCTTCATGATGCACATCCCTTAAAAAGAATGTATGTATTTAATATGAATTTTAGTCTTAAACCAATGAAGGTAAAATATGATAAACAAGATCAACAAGGAAAGGCGGCGTTCAATGAACGCAACCCCCATATGACCAAGCAACAAGTACCAATGGCAAGGAGCCCAGACGGACCCAGTTTGTCATGTAGAAATAAATACTTTTTTAAAAAAACAATTACACATTCATGTTATTTTGAAAAAAGAAATATGTACATGAATATAGAGTAACATGCAAAAACAACAAAGCCATTGTTTAAAAATTCTTTTCTCATATATGGATTGTATAATATTCTTTGGTTCCCTAAACCACGAGTGTGCCAGCAATATAGGATTATCATTATACCATGATAAGCTGCATAGACATATAATTACAAAATAATTTTTGAAATTCTTTCAATTCAAGTACATGTTATTTTGAAAATATCATTGTAAATGTAAATGTGTCTTACTCCATTTCCTTGATCTTATGCAGCAGATTCTGTCGGCATAGAAGCCAGTGCTGTCTCAATGATATTTCCAACACGTATCTCCATTTCTTTTCATGTTTTTATTTCCAATTGTTGGTATATTTAGTGTTGACAACAAATTGTTGACCCTCACCGGCCCACCTACACTATCAATCATTGCTGTAAGAAAATGAAAGAAACAAATTATTTCATTAAAGTATACAAATATTTTGTCAAAAAAAACTTCACATGGATTGTAATTTACATAACCGTGATAATAACACATTGCATAAATTAATATAGAGCTATATTTAGCTGCCTCATGTACGTTGAATATTAGTACTGTGACTGTGTGTATTGGCATTCTAGTGTAAACTGTGTCTTTTATATAATGTACATGTAGGATTCTGTAATGTCTTACTAAAAATTGCATTGTTGCAAGATTTAATTTAGCAACGTTTTATCATTTGTTTTTCAAATTTCTCAGTGACTTTGGGGAAATTAAAACAGTTCAGAGGGAAGTTTATAAAACATTTCACAATAGGAAGTGGCTAGCCGTACGGGCCCGTACGGCTAGCCAAAAGTTCTAGCCATACGTGAGTCACGTACGACTAGCGAGGACACACTGTATTGGCTAGCCGTACGGGACTTTTCAAAATTATATGGAGTATGTGAGTCACGTACGGCTAGATCTTTTGGCTAGCCATATGGCTACTGGTCCGGGACCATCAACCGGACACTTTTTAAACATTTTTCCGTACAGATTTCATAATTTTTAACCTAGAGACCAGTGATTTTTTTACAAACTCATCAGTGTGGGTCCTTAGTACTCGCTGGGCTATAAATCTATGAGTCCCATAATTTAGCCGACAAATCCAAGTTACAAACCTTAATACTGCTTAAGTGATATGACAGGTATATTAACAATGGAATGGAGAAAAAAATGAATTTGATTTCTATATTAATTACAATGCTTCTGATACTGAAATTATTCAAAACTGTCAAATAAATTTAATATGTTTATTTCCATTAATTTAGTTTGATATTAATCAAAACTTCATTTTCCTTAATATTTTTAAGCTTACCTATAGTATAGCACATTATTATATCTTAGCTGGACCTAGAATATGATTGACATAAGTTGAACACTATTTGGTATTAATTTTAATACCAAATTTCTGTCAGACAGGACTCCCTACTTAGAAAAAGTATGCATCCAAAAGATGCACATTATTTGAAACTTTGCATCCATAGCAAATTCATTGAGTTCTGGACTCAGGATGCAAAGGTAAAAAAATCACTGAGAGACCTAAAAATTTGAGACAGTTCAGCTAGGTTCTTCTCCTAACTAACAAAGTTTCAAACTAGTTTGTTTTTTTCTGATTGTATTTACACTTATATCTGAGGCTCGAAAACGTGGGTATAAAAATTACCTAAAATGTCTACACTACAGTACCATGTGTCCGGACAGATATGTACATGATGTGATTTAATTCAGATAAAAGCTTGGCTGTTTTAATTTTTGATTTTCAACATGTTATACAATATTTCAGCAACAAATCCTGAAGTTTTGGATATTCTATTGTTTACTCTGCAAATGATTATAGTTGGTATATGAGGTCAGGCATTGCCCTCTTGACCCCCAAATTTCAACGTCAACATTCTTGAAATAGACATTAAAATATTACCATTTACGGAGGTTGAAATAAATTTATTTACTTAATTTTAGAAGAAACATTCATTTATTGTTGATAAAAAGCAACTGACAACCACTGAATATTGAAAATAGAAAATTAAGCATTTTTGGAGCCGTCCGGGTTTGGTGGTTGTCCGGTTTTGGTGGTCCCCAACCAGTAGCCACTTCTTTCACAATAAGGAGTAGTGTTTTACAGCTAAACACAAACAAGATACATGTATTCTGTATAATAAATTAATTATTTATAAATCAGTTATTTTTTACGGAATGAATGATATACTGAAGTGATTTTAGCTGTCTAAATGTAGGAGTTCATTCCGTAGAGGATATTTATTATGTAAAAACCTGTTATGAACCCCTTGCTAGATGTTTGTTCTTTCACAGCTAACTACGCAAGCGCATGGTAGGTAAATATTTTATTTTTTTGCGCATGCGGGTGTGATATTTTTTAAGCGCCTGAAAGATCCAGATCAGTAGGGCTGACCACACGACTGTCATAAAAATACAGATAAGAATGTTTCTGCCCCGGGGGGCAGATAACCGGATATTGCCAACATAAATTTGGTCCGCATAATTTTACATGTTTGACATCATTGGAAGACAAGTAAATAAACATTGATAAATCATAATGTATCGATATATTCATTTTGGTACGAGACCTTACATCTTAGCTTAAGGTCTTCAGCGTACCCGTTTATATATATGACATGACGTGAACGCTGAAGATAACCCCGTAGGGAAAGTCCACCAATAATCGTGCCAGGAATCTGACACGCTCGTATTTATTTATCGAACATGCCACGAAGTAAAGTGAAGCATACCTTGATAAAGCAATATATAATCTGTTGATAAGCCAAGGATGGACAAATAAAAATCTTATTAGGAACATAAACTACCTAATGGTTTCCGACAGGTAAAAATTTCGGCACTTGGCCGCCATATTGCCAAAATGTTTGACCACGTGATTACGAGATTGACCTTTAATTTTATGAACCCATGTGCCTCCAATATTTTTATAGATTTTTTTTTAAGATGTTGAAAAAGGTTATTTACTGACTGTTATATTCAATAAAATCATATTTAAATACTAAAAAATTTAAGAAAATAAAAATAAACATTATCTTGAATAAAAATATCGAAATCATGTCAACAAAATGTTCTAAATATAGTACACAACTCTATTCAAATCTGTTCCCGCGAATGACGTCATACGAGGTGTCGCGTGACACTTGAATGTCATGGCCGACTGTAGTCGGCGAAAATTGATAATTTACAGTTAAATAGGCAATTTTAATGACGGTATTAATATTTTATTACTTGAATTGGTATAGAGCGATATTTAAATAATTGTTTTACCGTAAAATGCACAAGAATTGATCGGGTTGAGTGTATTTGCAAGTGAAAAACAATAATAAATCAACTTAGGTTATTCTGGTTAGGTTTCGTAACGGGTCTAATCCAAAACTTTAATGCCGCATCTGATGAAAAACAAAAATTTTAAAAAGCGGCTTATAAAGTTTTGGAAGCCAGAACTACTTACATCTAGACTATGAATTCATTATCAGTATATAGTACTTAATGTAAACTATGATGCAATACATTAATCACTTACCTGTTCCTAATTTTGTGTTGACAACGAAACATGGCATTCCAACTTTCACAGGTCTTCAATCTACTAGAGTCTGTGTGTTTTTCCATAGGGAACACAATTCACATAACCGCATTCTGTGTTTCGACATTTCACATACAAATAACCAGACACTCCCTGTTTAAATTCACCTAACATGTTGTCAAAAGTTAATCAGTGCTGTAAATGGTAGCCAACTGGTCCAAGTCTACATTTTTTACAAAAAATCTTAGGTTTGACCGTAACACGCCAAACTCAACGATTCTTCTTCCCTCTTTCTAGTCCTATAAATATGACGTCGCTTTGAGATATTTTTGCTTCTGGGCAAAGCAACGTCATATCGAAATTGCTCAAAAACCCATAGCATGTTCCGCCAGAAAATCGGGCGGAACAAAAAACAATGAAGACAGCGTGTATTTACATATTTTTTTACCTACTTATGAACAAAACTAAAAAATAAATACCTTTTGTCAAAATAATTAAACTGTCACATCCGAAAAATCATGATTAAATCCTCTCATGTATTTCAATTCCTTTTACAGCCGATAAACAAATGGCGGCCGTAAAGTGCGCGAAATCTGATTGGCTAATTCAAATGCAAGCGTTTAACTGAGTCAGAACAATCTAACGGAATATTTTTTTAACGAAATAATTGCCCATACACCGTCAGTGTGTTCGAATATATTTTTCCGTTCAAAAATTTGGAATCAATCTGTAAAGCACCTTGCTTAACCAGTATGGCTGATAGACAAAAACAGATTGATGTTTATATTTTATTTTTAATTGATAAGTACATCGTTTGACAGTTTTTGTGTATGATTGAGCATGAAATTGAAAGAAAATATGATAATCTTTTGAATAAAGCTTGCAAGGCAGGACAATAGACATTTTTGGAATTTTTTATGATGCTATGCGTTTTTGAGCAATAACTATTAGACGTCAGGCTTGACCGACAAAAACTATAACAAGCCTGTAACGTCTAATATATTGGACTACCCTCTTTCCAACCCTCATTATCAACCGATTTAGGAAGAGTTGATGTCTTGTAGAGCTGGTTTGGTTGACACGTAATACTGGTTACCTGCACTATTGTTATGTTCTATAATAAAGTCGGAATACTTGAGTTTTCTGCATCTTTTTACACTTTTTTTGAATCGACCGAGCGTATCACGCTGTAAGACGCCATGTTAGATATCTGCGGAAATTACGTCATTTTCTTGGGGAATACTACCACGTGACCGGGGATATTCGCTATTATTAGAATTCCGACTTTATACGTAAACAAACGAAGTTCGTTACGATAAATGGCGAGATATGGCGGTAATTGTCGAAGATTGCCGATTTCATTATGGGTCTTCTACCTTATAATTTTTTAACTGTTATTGTGAACTACAATACCCTCCATGATACATATGATGTTTCAATTTGATAACTCTTAGGCAAAAAATAAAAATTTGTTTGTTTCCACTTCCCGACCCATTAAAATAAGGTTGGGTAGGTAGGTAGGTAGGTAGGTTATAGCACGGACTTTAATTGACATTTAAATCCGTGGTTATAGGTAGGTACATGAAGGACTTTTTTTATATGTGCATAATAATATAATTCCTTGGCAAAATAGTTATTTACTGAACAAAGTTGGATTAACTTTCAGAACTGATATGTTTGTGGCGATTATCTGGCAAACTTGTTTTTATAGAAAAGTTTCTGGTGAACTTTCAGCGAATATTTTTTTTGATAGAAAGATTCTGGCAATCTCTGGCAAATTAGTTTTCCACTGAAAGTTTCTGGCAAACTTTTGGCGAACAACTTAATATTCTGGTGAATTCGCCGCAAAGTCGCCAAATGTTTGCCACAGAGTTGCCACTAGTGGCGATATCTGGCAAACACTTGACACAGTGTTTTGGCGAACTAAAAGGTTTGCAGCGAATTTGCGGCAAAGTTGCGGCGAATTTGCGGCAAACTTTTCCTTTTGGTACGGGTGAATCATATTCGAACTTGACCTAGAAATCATCAAAACAAACTTTCAGACCAATTTCCAGGATATTTGGATCAAAACAGTAGCCAATAGAGTGTTGATAACATTTTTCTATTTTAAGCTCCTGTGACCTAGTTTTTCATTCGAGATGACCCATGTTCGAACTCATCAGAACATATACCTAGAGAATCATCCTGACCAAGTTTGATGACAATTGAGTCAAAAATGTGACCACTAGAGTGTTAACAATGTTTTTCTATTTTTGCCTCATGTGACTTGTTTTTCATCCGAGATGACCCATGTTCGAACTCATCTGAGCTATTACCTAGATAAGCATCCTGACAAAGTTTGATGATGATTGCGGCAAAATGTGACCCCCTAGAGTGTTAACGAACAAGTGTGGACGGACAACGGACGAAAGAGGACGGACATTCAACGATCCTAAAAGCTCACCCTGAGCTAGCTCAGGTGAGCTAAAACAGAAAAACAACAACAACAAAAACACCTGATTCTTAACCATTTATTCAACCAAATAACAAACGTTATGTTAAAGAGTCGCTAACAAATACCAGGACTGTAACAATACCTCTATTTTTTTCTTGGAAAAAACAAAACGAAAACAAAAAAAACTCGAGGTGATTGTCTTGGCATAAAAATATCATATTTAAAATTGAATTAGAATAACAGGACTATATATTTTGAATGAATACATTGATTTCATTAAATATACATGAACATACACAACAACAAATATTATAATTATGGCACAAAAATAAGACTTACATATAGCTGTCAAAATCATAGAAATTCATAGAAATAACATTTCATCTGTACAGCAGAATATACAAAACTTTCTTTAAAAGTTAACTGTGTCTATAAATAACAGTTTCACGTTTTATTCACACAACTTTTTAAAGTCCAAATCTTGCAATGGAACAACAATAATAACAGCTCTTTGCAATTATATTGTGTTAAAATAATCAAAAAAAAACAGAATTACCATTTATTTCTGTCTTCATAGCAATTCTGTGCACTGAATAGTGAATACATATAATGTAACAATTTTAATGTGTTATTAACAGCAGTAGATACCACATTTGATAAAATATAGGACTAGTTTAAAAAATATATGCTCTAAAATAATGAGAGTTAGGTTGTAGCAATTAAGGACACTTTAAACACAATAGGACTTTGTTGACAAAAGTCAAGAAATAAAATCATTTACAAAAATAATTATAAAAATAATTTCATTTATCACAGTTATTAAATACAATCTAGAATCACATAGTTTTATAACAACCCCTTGCCAAACAAAAAATGTGGTAAGGTTACAACATTTATTTCAATGGTTTATGATGAAACTTTCTAATATATACAGAAAGAGGCAAACGATTAAGACAATATTTATACAGATATATGATTACATATATTACAAAATATATTCAAATGGCAACGCTTGCTTACATTCAAAATGAAAAGAATGAAAACCCCCTTGAAATAATTTACCCGTCAAACCTTTAATTATTTCTTGACATGTCACCTGAACCACACATAACTCATTTGGCATTACGAGTAAACTTTGTACATACACTGTATATACACGTAAATGAAAATATGGCACATGATCAATCTTTAATAAGCAAAAACAGAAATTTTCTTTTGTTAAAAGAAGCAAAATTTAAGACTGACTTAGATCAGTTTCCTACTTCAACAACAATGTCTTGGTACTAAAACATATTGAGGATGATTATAATCTAAGGAACAATTCACCTTCAGCTGTCTCCTATCTTCAAGTGTATTTTATACAATAATCAAAAATCATATTGTACCTTAGAACGATTATATAAGCAGATATCCCGTCGCTGCTTTTGACTAATTTCGAGTTTGCATAAATTATTTCATGATCACAAGACCTTTATATGTGCAACTTTACTCGACATACGTGTGATGAGGTCAAAGCTGAAAGGTAAGGTGATTGTGGTATAATTTTGGCAAACCAGAAAATCGTAAATCTCTTAGAAATTCCGCCATTGCTTTTAACAAAGGAACAAAATTCTGGATTATATATCAACTATATACACATTTGTCCGGTAAAAGTCAAGCCAGAGGGCTGATTAGATTCAAAACTGACCAACGGACAGTCTAACAATTATATATATTAATGTATTTGAGCAATAACAATGATTACAATCATATTGGAATCACAGAATTTCACAACTTGAACAAAAAATAAATATATTTCATAACATTTATAATACTCAATTACAAAAAAGTCATTTAAGTGTCAGTCACTCAAGTAACAAGTATAGAGATCTAAAATATTCTGCCAAGAGCCGTGCTCACTAAAAACATATATATAATAAAATTGTTTTTTTTTTAACAATAATATAAAACAAGAGGGACATGATGGCCCTAGATCGCTCACCTGACTTATCAAACTCATCCAAACAATTACTTAGACAAGCATTCTGACCAAGTCTCATGACAGGTGAGTCAAAATGTGAGCACTACAGTGTTAACAAGGATTATCCATATTTGAGCAGTGCGACCTAGTTTTTTTACCCAGGTGACACATATTCAAACTTGACCTAGAAATCATCAAAACAAACTTTCAGACCAATTTCCAGGATACTTGGATCAAAACATTAGCAACTAGAGTGTTAACAAGATTTTTCTATTTTTAGCTTCGGTGACCTAGTTCCACATGCGATTTCGAACTCATCCAAGCAATTACCTAGACAAGCATCCTGACCAAGTTTGATGATAATTGAGTCGAAAATGTGACCACTAGAATGTTAACAAGGTTTTTCCATATTTGGGCGGTGTGACCTAGTTTTTCATCCGAGATGACCCATGTTCGAACTTGACTTAGAAATCATCAAAATAAACTTTCAGACCAATTAACAGAATATTTGGATCACAATAGTAGCCACTAGAGTGTTAACAAAATTTTTCTATTTTTAGCTCCGGTGACCTACTTTTTCATCCGAGATGACCCATGTTCAATTTGTTCCCAGCAATGACCTAGACAAGTTTCCTGACCAAGTTTGATGACAATTGAGTCAAAATTGTGACCACTAGAGTGTTAACAAGGTTTTTCTATTTTTAGCTCCTGTGACCTAGTTTTTCATCCGAGATGACCCATGTTCGAACTCATCCGAGCTATCACCAAGACAAGCATCTTGATCAAGTTTGATGATGATTGATGCAAACATGTGAC